GGTGGGTGCGTGCGTGTGTCGTGGGTGTGCGTGGGTGTGCGCGAGGAGGCCTCCGGCTCCGTGGATGTGCCTGGCTCAGGCTCACTCCTGTTTCTGTGCAGTGTTAGACAAATCGACCGGGTTACGCCATTGACATTTGCTTCCACAAGGTAGACGCATACTGCCCCTTTGAGATCACAGGCATCCATTGTTTGCAGTTAGGTTGCAAATCTTTGTCTTTAACTCTAGTACTGTTTTTAGTTCATGATTATGGACAACTGGTGCCACTTTTTTCAAATTTCGGTGTGACACAGGAATCCGCTGTTGAAGATGAACCTAGAATGTCTTTAAGCACTTAAAATGCTGTTCACACTTTATTGCTGAGCATCCTGGTCTAACACTCAGTACGTACTGTATCTCACTTTAATCTGCTCAGAAAGCAACAACAACAAACAAAAAAACGAATCTCTTCAACACTGTAACTACATGCAACTATGTAAAGTTTTCTCACAGGCAAGATGCTGAAAGTTTTAATGTGGTTTCAAAGGGATGAATGTGAATTATTGAACTAGTATGTGACAGTCATTGTCCACAAAGGACTACTTAATAGGAGGCACTTTTTAAACTTTAATGCTTGAGAAAGAGTTAAAGGCATATGCGAGCTGACAGATAATAAAAAAAAAAATAAGAGAAAGGAAAAAGGAAAGAGAAAAAAAAAAATCATTGTCCAGTGTTTTTGAAAAAGATGGACTTTAAAGAATCTTGCAATTTGCACATCTTGAGTTTATCATTTGTGTGGTATTCCTGCAGTTTTTACCTAATAATGTTGTGGGTTGGGGGGGGGCTGAAAGAGCATAAACAAATGTAGCAATTACTCACTAACCTGCCTAGGCTCTAGGCCGTTTCATAGGGTTACGTTCCTTTCAAAGTTCATTTTTGGTCTCTCTACCATATCTGCCACACAGAACCAGGTCCTACCGGGACAGCTCTGAGAATTTTTCTTCAGACTTGCTGAGAGAGTTTTCCACAAGAAACATTTCTATACGTAAGCAAGGTGTTTGTTTGTTTTGAAAACAAACCTATTGTTATTTTATTATTATTGTTATTATTTGTTATTTTAATTGCATTGTTTTCCATTGGAAAGGCGAGATCTCAAGAGTCTGGTACAAACCAAGTAGGATGGGGGGGATTCACGCCGTTCAGTCTTTTCTTTCCCCAGGTAGGGCCGGATCCTTTGAGGTGCTGTGCACCCAGCCTCCTGCACAAGCCTCGGGGAGGTGCGAGTATGAAGTACTTTGGGGCTGAGCGCTAAAGCCCGTTGCTGCCACTAGAGAGATCCCGTTGATTTCAGTGGGATTGCGCTTGGGCCCTACGTGAGCAAGCGTTCGTGTCGTCGGTTTTGGTGGGCGAGTTCGCATCCTTCAGGTAGTTTTGAAGAAGCTGTACTGATAGGGAGAAAAGGAAATGAAAGTCCGTCATTAGAAACGCAGTAACCTAAAGTAAACAAATTTATTTAAAATCTTGTTTTCCCTCTCCCCTAAAATACAGTGCTTTTATTTAAGAGAAGAAATGTTAACCCCAAACCCCAGCTTTGACTCTCTTATTTGTTACTTGAAATTTAGCTCACACCAGAACTAATTGTTTTTATACCATATTCTGGGGTGCACCAAAAAGTTGAAAAACGTTTAAAATAGCTTGAAACTTTTCTTGAATTTCCTTGAATTTTATTAACCTCTCGGCGAGCTACCAAATAGCTGAGTGGGTTTCTTCTCACAGTCACACTGCTTAGTTAGCGCTTATTTGCTAATATTTCTGCTCAGAGAAGTTGCTTAATCTTCCATATACTCTGCTCAGGGCACTTGCAATTTATTGTTTTGTTTTGTTTCCTGTTTTGTTTTTAAGCTTTGATTGTAAAGGAATAGAAAGAATTACAGATTTTAGTTCACAGTCGTACCACTATTTCCGTACTTCTCGCGTACTCGGGGAAAAAAAAAAAATCTCAAGTAAAACCATACGCATACACATTTGTGGTTAATAAGGAAGCAGGGGCTATTAAACTGACTGGATCTATTCAACTAACACTAAAAAAAAAATAAAAAGTAATAATAATAAAAAAATACGTTTGGAGCAATAGGAATGTATTAGTTCTGTGCTTGTATTTCAGACTGAGGAATTCTGAAATAACTGGTTCTTTCCAAACAATTGTCCCTTTCCATGCTTTGGCTTTTGTAGGATGTGCAATACTTTACGTGCCAACTTAGACTCACCCGCGCGGTGTTAGCTAGATCTCATACCCCCTTCTGATTTCCCCTCCTTTTGTTCTTTTTTGAATAGTTTCTTTCTTTCTTCCTTTCTGTTTTCCTATTAATAACTCCCTCCCTATCCTCCCCCCCCCCCCCCAACAAAAAAAC